GGAGATGGTCTAAAACACACAACTTAATATGTTTCTTACACTAAAACAACCATTTACAAAAAATAAACAAATTTCGTTTTAATAAGCCATATTTACAATTTTTTTTGGGTCTAAAGAAAAATTAAAAAGCTAACATCCTATATAGCACATGAACATAAATGAAACCCACTTAAGTCAATACCATTGAACATGGTTAGCATATGTTCACAATTCAAAATCGCATAAACAAGATTGCATATATTTGAGTGGTTTCAATAGAACCCAAAAGAACACATTAAAACTTAATACGTTTACAGAAATCAAACCCTACGATCAACTAAACATGTTTTTTACACTCAAACAACAATTTACAAAAACAAACAAATTTACCTAAAAAAAATACACGTTTACAATTTTTTTTGGGTTTCACAAAAAAAAAATCAAAAAACACATTACATATGTAGCACATGAACATAAATGAGAACCACTTAAGTCAAAACCACAGAATATGGTTAGGATATGTTCACAACTCAAAACCGCATAAACAAGACCGTATATTTTTTGGTCATTTCAACATAACCCAAAAAAACACAATAAAACCTAACACGTGTTTTTTAAAAATCATACCAGGATGTAAAATGCAAAAAAACACGCAAAACCGCGCTTTCTAATATACGGTTTTATTTATCGTCACATACATCACAAAACACCCAATAAATAAAATTTTAAAAAAAACTACTGCTACTTTCGACCTTTTTGAAACCCAAAAAGTTGTGTCAAAATTAAGCATGCAATTGCTAACTACAATCGGCCAAACACCCATCATAACAAACAACAATAATCGACGTCTTGTTCACCATTTACGGATATAAAAACTCACCAGCATCTAATTGCATAATATTCGGGACCGGTTTTGGATTTTCTCTTTCCTGTAAAATTTACCCATTCCGGTAAGCACATGCACAAAAAGATAAGAACAACCATTTCGGTTAATTGTAGTTTTCCACTAATTGAAGGGATTCAACAACTGATGGCACCAATTACTTACTTTTCGCTACTGATTGTTGTACCATCTTGCCGTTGTATAAAGTAACAAGAAATTTTGCTTCCTCTAGCGGTTTTCGCTTCTGATATCAGGTTTAATCAAGAACAGTTTCAATTGTTTGGAGGGGAATTCTGAAAACGAGGGACAATGGACTATGTCGGAGTGGATTTTCTACCGTGATTTGGGGGATAAATATTTGGGAGGATTATACGGTTACGTGATTTTTGGAAGGGATTTGGAATTGATTTACCATAACAAGTATACTAATTAGTGGGGGCATATATGATTTTTCAGGGCCATTGGATTTATGTCAAATATCATTTATAAATAAATGATTTATCAAGAATTAAAATCTCACTGAAGGGTGTTTGTCATATATCCCCCATTAAGTTAGAATGGATACGTCTTTTTTTTAGGTTTTTACAAAAAGCTTCATTAGTGTTATGCATTCCATAATACAGTGGATGTCCACCAATACTCGCCATTATTAATGCATGACCATTATTCACCACTATTAAGGAGTTGTAATTCAAGTCATTTGAGTGATATTTTTTGTCATTTAAATAGTGAGTGTTGCAAAGAGTTTTGCACACAAGAAGAACAAGAGTATAATATACTTGTTGATATTTATATTGCTGTCTCAATTCCCTTTTGCTTTGTTATTTATTTATTAGTTTCTCAACACGTTATCAGCACAATTGTTCTATTTTAATTTTCAAGTAAAGATGATCCAAAAAGGCTAACATCTTAGCCATAGACGATGCAAAGGGAGTTCACTTTAAGTTTATTATTATTGTTTTTGTTGACAAAATAATAACAATCTTATTTCTCTTGTAGGTGAATTTTTGTGCAATTCACGAGTTCGTAGTTTGGTGCATGTTTTGGATCTGATAATGTCTGAATTTCATAAAATGAAAAATATAAAACTTGTAGAATTTTCTGTTGGTTATTCGGAACATTTTGAGTAATCAGATCTCAATCGAGAGAGATATGCTTAAAATACTCAACTCTGCCAGATATGTCCCTTGTGCGAATTTTTTAGATTAACATGACGTTCTAAAAACAAAAGGGACGATTATAGGCGTAAAGCCTAGATTAAATACGAGTTTAGAAATCTCGATTGAATATATTAGACTCTTAAGTCTAAATGATAAGACTCTTGAAAATTCAAGTCAATGACTATTCTAGTACTATTATCTCACGATTAAGTACTATAATGATTTTTTATTATATATTAAGGCTTGAGGCCCAAATCGAGCACGTACAACGAAGGGACTCGAATATTTGAAGTATATTAAAGAACTATTCACTTTGTGGTTCAATGATGTTATTTCCATAAGAAATCAATAGAAAGAGAACGCGAAGTTCATAAATATTAGGCTCGAAGCCTAGTTTAAATATGAAGGCTTTAAAAGCTTATGTGGATGCATATCAAATATAAAGGCTTAGGCCTAGATTAAATTTTAAGACTAGAAGTCTTGATTGAATATATTATTTTTGTTTTTGATTAAAATGTAAATATTATAAATCAAAAAGTCGTAGACAATTACAATGGTTATACCCCGAGGAAATTATATAACCTATTACAGCAAAATAAACTAACATACTAAAAGCATAAATAAAAGCGGGATAACCCACGAAGCCTAGCATCTAAATCACGCCCTCATGGGTTCATAAGGTTGCCCGGTTGTCCGCTCGTCCTTGAAATCGCTAGCGTTGGGTGCTGGCTGAACATAGCCGAGTAAACATATAGTTGGATCTTCCTTATGCGGTCCTTCGGAGTAGTTTCAATTTTCTCAAATTTCCACTTGTTCTAAGCCTCCCAAATGTGGTACATGAGACTTGCTAGTGCACATTGCTGCGTCTTGTTGCGGTACGACTTCCCTCACACGTCCTTCTTGAGCCATTTAAGTGTTGCACCCAATGTGGTTGGTCGTCGGCGGATACCCAACTATATCCGTATGTTGTCCCCACCTCTTGAGACATGTTGCATGTGAAGAAGAGGTGCTTCTTAGTCTCGTCCACCACACCACATAAACAAGTGCTTTGGGGTCATAGATGGCGCCCAACAAAGTTTACCCCACAGTTTAATCGGTGCCTTAGCCCTAATCCAGTCGTATACTTTGCTCACATTTAATTTGCCAATCTCCATACAAGATTCCAGCTTAGCAATAAGTAGCTGAGTAGTCCCCGCGCTCTCCACCAGTTCGTCCCGAATCCGGATGATGCTCTTGAAGAAGGGTGAAGCTGTAAGTGGCGGTGACCACTCCCATATGGTTCGTCCCTTAAGATAAAATTCATTCATCCCACTTTATCCAAAGAGATTCTTTCTTCAAGTGAAAATCCCACAAGTTTTTCACGAGAATACTTCGGTTCCAATCAGTCAAATCAAGGAGGCCCAAACCCCCTTCTTCCTTCGGTTTGCACATTTTCAGCCAAGCCACTTTCGGGGCAGCCGCACCCCATAAAAACGTTTTGCGTAGTTTCTCAATACTCTCGATAATTGCATGTGGGATCGAAAATATTGATAACCAGTAGCAACACGTACCTTGAACCACGGTTTTCAAAATCTCCAAACGGCCGGTGTAGGAGAGAGTTTGGCGACTCCACGCTCATATGGCTTGCTCGATTTTGTCGAGTGGTTGATGGTTGAGCACTCGTAATTTAGATGCAGCGAGTGGAATTCCAAGGTATCGAATCGGTAACACTCCCGTGGCAAAGTGAAACTCGTTTTCGATCTCTAATCGGTCCCCCAGTTTAACTCCCGCTAAGAAAATATTAGACTTCGCATGATTTGCCTTGAGTCCCGAGACCTGCCCAAATTCGTAGACCGTCTTGGCGAGGATACAGACCTATTTCAAATTCGAAGTCACTTTTAACCCTTGCACGAAAAAGTGTTGCTGTCAACATGGCTATATTCTCGAAGGGGCAAAAAATATTGATTTTGTTAACTTTGTTTAAATTGTATGACAAAATTCATGTTAAATAACAACGGTTAATGCATATTATATGCAGGAGACATGGGATGAACGTTGGTTTCGTGTCACAGCTTTCCTTTTTAGGACATATGCGTGGTTGTATTTCATTTTAAGAATACCGCTTCAATAGACTTCAGCGGTATGCCAGGGTATTCTATAGACGAGCCACTTATGATTGATGATGAAGAAGATAAATGAAGGGTCTAACAAAAATGTTGTGCATGATGGATAAGCTAACGAATGAAAACATGTTGTGAATGGAGATGTGGAAGGCGTAGGTGAACAAGCTATGTGGATGGTGAGTACAAGGAGAAAGATGTAAAATTAGGTGGAGTCTACTGTAATATCTATGAATGTCTTTAAGATGTTTTTTCTTTAATCCTATGTGATGGTTTTTCTTTTCCTTTATTAAGTTTAATGTAATAATGGATTGTACATGTCATTACAACTATTAGCCTATAATGGCAAATTTCTAATTTGAAATACCTAACTAACCATCAATTTGTGTTACTTTTCAATTCCAACATTTATCTTTTCTTATTATTATAATAATGAATGAACAAAATATATTCACTCCATATTAAAAGTTGGTAGTGATAACAATCATACATACAAGAAACAATATTTAAAAAATAATAATGTAATGACTCCATACTCTGTTCTAATTCAATATAGATTATAATGTGCATTGTACGCAATCATAAATCCCAAGATACAATAAGAAGACACAAAAATAACCAAATTAGTTTCATAAAACATTATATAGCTCAAACCACACATATTAAAGTTACGAAGTACACAACACTACATACACATGTAGTAAATTAAACAAATATTATTATAGGTCCAACAAGTGTTATCTTCCTTATTGCATGTACATAAGAGCGTTTACCAGATTGTACTATCCTCCGATGTGTGACCGAACAAAATTAATTATTCTGGATTTGTTGAACAAAATCAATGGGATAGAATCTGAACTACAATTGGTAATACAACAGCTATTAGATACACTAATAGTTGTTGTACAATTGGTAATACAACAGCTATTAGATACACTAATAGTTGTTGTATTACCAATTGTAGTTCAGATTCTATCCCATTGATTTTGTTCAACAAATCCAGAATAATTAATTTTGTTCGGTCACACATCGGAGGATTGTACCATTTGAACAGTTCACAACTTTGCATATACAAAAATATCCACATTTATTCATCTTATGTGAAATGAACTTTATTCTAGAACAAAATAAAATATCAGATTCAGACTATACAATCAATACGAACAACAAGGAAAAAGTTTCCCAATCTATTGAGCTTTGCAGTTTCGTAAACAAATACTACCCCGTCACGGAAACCTTAATATTTGCAAAACCCAATATAATAACATTACAAAGTGTAATTGAGGTTGACAACACTTACACCAATCCGAGGACACGAGATAAATCGAAGCCCGGGAATTTTTTCTAACCAAGAAGTCTGCAAACCCAACTTCAAATTACAAGCACAAAAACCCAAATCGTATGGAATGTATCTATTTTCACGGTACGTGTTGTGCGAAGCGCTTCCCTCGACTCCATTGGTGGACGAATAGCTCATCTCCAAAATAAAGCAGGTTGTAGCAGAATTGATTGCGAATAAAAGTGAAATAAATTGGGCAAATAATTGCGTCAAGCGCATAACTGCGCCATCGCATATTTGCGGTTTATAGTTGAAGACATTTTATATGAACTTTTTTCAAATAAATAGGGCATTTAAGTCATTTTTGTGATAAATCATATTATCTTCCACAAAACACAGGTGTTAGTAATTTATCTACAAAATGCGCGAGACAAAAAAGCAAACAACAGAATAAAAAAATTACACACTCTTCTCCACCGCAAATCTTTCTAATAAATTGTAACATATCAATCCACACAGAAGCAAAAGAGCCCTTATTGTTAAACATTGATTATGAGATTAGGAGGATATATATATGATGGGATAGATTTGCATATATATATATATATATATATATATATATATATATATATATATATATATATATATATATATATACTAAAATGCTAAATCTCACATTAATTGTACTAAATTATGCACACCACTAAAAATATTTATCTCTCTAAAATCTTCTCTTCTCCTTCTCCACCCTTCTTCTTTTTCCCTAACCTTTTCACAAAATCACGCACTAAAAATGTCCCTAGCATTCTCAAGTTCGAATTTGACAAAAATCTTCACATGTTCAAACTAAAATAATATTGGAATTTGAGAAAAAAAAATTCGAATTGATATGAATTTGAATAATTAAATAGGCTGAAATCAAATAATTATTAATTAAAATTGAACTCATTTTTTGTGATTATTCACGTAAACAAATAATGAATTTTGAGTGAGGATAAAATCATCTTAAAGAGAACTTACAATGAATATGAGTAGAGAGAGATTTTTTTTTTTTTTGTGTTTAATTTATGTGTGGGATTTAGTAAATATATATATATATATATATATATATATTGATTATTTACAAATAATATCTAGAAATATATAACATTAAATTTAAAAAAAATAATTATTTCCAATTTATCACCAATTAATCACTGTTGTACCAATTAATCGTTAGGTTGTCCCTAAGGGCTCTTTTGGTTGGGGGGTTGGATAGATAGCTATGGATGGGATATGTAGTACTGAGATTAAAAGACTGATTCACAACATCTAATATGCTTTTTGGTTGGTTGTATTGGGATGAAACTAATAATCTCTTGATGAACAATATCACGTTTTCTTTTCTTGATTTACCAATTTTATGTGGGTTTATTTGCAAACTGACTGTAATGTCCTTAAAATATAATATTTTATTCTTGAGCTTTTTCTTTACAAACAATAGTAGCCTTCTATTAATAAGTGATGTATTTTTGAGCTGTTGAGCATCGACAACTAAGTTCACATCTTCTGTTGAAGCTCTTACGCCTGCAACTCTTCGTCTTGACTGCAATACAAATTATAATTAATACAAACGTAAACTCACTTAATGCTATTTGTGCAAGGGAAAACTATGTATGCGGCTAATAGTTTATATGTACCTGAGCTTCGAGTTTGTTGGGTATTGTTTCAAAGGCTATGAGATCAGGACCAGAATCTGCAAGAACCTTAACCCTTCTTCGGTGATTTTTTTTCAAGAACTCCAAATCCATTGCATCTCTGTAATCACCGCTGCATGTTATCAAGAAGTTATATGCATAAACCACAAGTCTTTAGCCTACACATACACATAGCAAGAAAGGACCTTCCAAATCCGATGAAAAAGGGAAAGTACCTGATACGATGTTGTAAGCACCGACTTTAAGGTAATCAATGTGTATTTGCTCTATAAAAATAGGCCATGAGCATTACCAGCAAAAACATTCTTCTAGATCTTTGTCTTTTGATTTTTAATTTCATAAGCGTTGCAATTTCACCAAAAAAAAAGACCACATTCAGCAGCAAAAGAAGCTTACAGTCTACATATATAATTCAAGCTATAATGCAATCAGGCCTCAAAGGCTAATCCCATGGAATTCAAATCATATCAAGCAATAGTATTCGATTATGTTGGTGCTTGTAGGAGATTACTAATGCTATAAAATTCCATGTGATTACCGGATAAACATGGTTGATTTCCAACATGGTGGACCACATCTTAAAAGTATCAATTCCACACACTGCAAAATTGTGAATTAGCAGGCTCACAAGATAACTCAATACAAACAAAACCATAAAAATCAAAACAACCATTTCATAATTGATGACCCATTTTTTTTCAAAATCAGGAGACTATCGGTGGATCAACTAAATAGCTAACTCTGATCAATAAGTAATAATCGAAAGAATGCTTCAAGATTACATGCAAAAAGTAGACTTGAATATTCTGTTGAAACTCTTACGCCTGTAATTCTTTGTCTTGGCTGCAATCTGCGAAAAACAATGTGTAGTGGAGAAATTGAATCGGTTAAGGTCGAAATTGGTGAATTAGCTAACGATTCTTTGAGATTTGGCAGGTGACGAAAATGAAATCCTCACCTGGAAATCTTCGTCTGGGGAAATGTGAAAAACCTAGAAATCTTCATCTTGGCTGCAAAAGGGAAAATGTGGTGAAATCAAGTATTTATATGCAATAAATTTGTAATTATTGTATGGTGTGAGGGTATATTTGACATTCCAGTTGGTGTAAGTGGGTGGGAGTAAGGATGGGATAAGTTGTCAAGCCAATTTTGGCTTGACAACTAATAATTCAAATGGCTGATAAAACTGGTGGGCCCATTTATCAAGGTTTGAGAAAACACCCAAACCAAATATTGTACTACCAAGTACAATTGATCCCATCATGGCTTATAAGCCAAACCAAAAGAGCCCTAAATGTCTCCGATCCAATTCCTATTTTTTATAGTCTTGGTTCTAAGAGTGAAAACTTGAACAAGTTTTTTGAACCAGACTCGCCAAAACATTGTTTAGTAGACAATTGAAAACCCTAGCTACAAATCGGCTTCACAGTCAGTCAAAAACCCCAGCTGCCACCCGCCCTCCATTTTTCGGCCATTCTTCACCTCCGTTCTCTGGTCGTCACTGCCATTATAATATCAGTTTTGCTCCGGGAGAAGATAAATGAAAAATCCAAATCCCACTTAACCAGATTCCAATAATGTACCAAACAGATGCGTTAGCCAAAATCGAATCGAAAATAAATTCGAACCAGAAACTGATTAAACCCAAACCAGATAGGTTTTAATTTGTTTTTGAAATATGAAAAACCAATACAAACTGTGTTCATTTTTCTTTTTGTTTTTTTCTTTTTCAGTTCAAGGTCAAGTTAAACATTTCATAGTTTCATTTGGAGAGAAACTTGTAATTTCACAAAGAAAAGGGAGAGATTTGTAATTTATGCATACTTAATGGGTTATTTATAATTGACCAAAAACCTTGGCATATTTATTTAGGGATAATTAGTGAAAACCCCCCACATCATTTACATATATTAGGGTGGATATAACCCCTTTTTCAGTATTAGTCAAAACTCCCCTAATTATTAAATTTAATTATTCTTTTTAAACTGCTATGAATAATATCTAATTTGCCCTTAATGCTATATTATTTCACATCTGCCCTAATTTTATTACGCCATTCAACCGCCTCCATCTTCTTTTCTCTGATTTCTGTCATTCTCTCCATACCTCATTCCATCTCTTTTCTCTCTCCTGAATAAATCCATGGTGTAGGCAAGAACCACTCGATCGTAGCCTCCACCACCCACCATTGAAAAGCATAGCATGAGCCGATGACTTTAGGAACAACCTCAAGGACGCGCTCGTATCGCTCTCCACTCCCTCAACATTGATGTCCAAGCCGCCAGATCTGAAGTTCTCGTCCCGCCGCCGCCACCATTGCTCCGATCTCGATTTAGTTGTAGAAGACGACATCAAAAACTCAAAAATTCCTCCCTACCTCCACCCCTCAACTCCACCGCCGGATATAGAGACTTTGCCGCCGCCGCATCTGCCCTGTCGTCGCCATCGTTCTGATTTTTTTGATTTTTTTTTTGATGATGCTTTTGATTTTAGGCATTTTTACAGCAAAATAGTTGTTTTTGTCATTCGGCTATTTTTTATAGTTGTTTTCGTTATCCTGCTATTTATTTTAGTTGTTTTTGATAGTTTTAGTTGTTTTCGACTTTTTTGGTTGATTTTCAAGTTTTTGGTAGTTGATTTTGATTTTTTATTCTTTTATCCAATTATATGACCTGCTTGAAAATAAAAAATAAAAAATATGAATTAAAAATTTTAATTGATGTATTTTTAGTTGTTTTAGACATTTTTAGTTGATTTTGATTTTTTATAGTTATTTCAATAATATTTAGTAATTTGTCAATTTGGTAAATTAGTTGGGAAAAAAAAATCGTTTTGGATCCAAAATAAATGATATGAAAAAAAAAGAATTTTTTAGTTGATTTTCAGAAAAAAAAATTAGTCGATTTCGAAAATATTATAGTTGATTTCGGAGAAACGAAACTAAAAATATGTTGAAAATAATATTATTTTTTAGTTATTATAAAATATTTATAAAAATTATTTAAAAAACTATTTTTTTTTAAATAAAATAAATGAAAATTAAAATGGAAAATAGAAAAGAAATAAAGAAGGTATATGCAGCAAATAATAGAGAAGGATAAATTTAATAATAAATAAAAGTTAGGTTTATCACTAATAAAAAAAAAATAACTAGATCCATCATTATTAAAAAAATGCTAGAGGGGTTTTGACAAATAGTCCCACTTATTTATTCGAATGAGAAGAAAATTGGACTACGACATATGAATGTAATCCAGCTAAGCTAGTTAGAGTCCATCTCGTTTGCCTCAAAATCTTTGCACTTCATCACTCCAAGACACGACACACACAAACAATACACTTCTAAAACATGACGCACAAGGTTCTTCTAGATGAATTGATAATAAAAGTTTTAATCGGGTTAAATAAATAAATAATAGGGATAATTAGCAATACCCCCTCATCTAGGTAAATGAGTTAAGAAAACCCCCCCTTCCAAAAATAATTAGAGAAAACCCCCTTACCTAATATCCTATCCAAATATTATTTAATAATTCCCAAACCACCCTTATTATCCCTAACCCATTGCCGTTCTCTTTTTTTTTCTCTCGTCTTCTCGTCTTATCTCTTCGGCCGTTCTCTCTTCTTCTTTTCTCGTCTTCCTCTTCTCGTCTTCTCTTGCCCACTAAGCAAAATCTAGAACAGAGAAGTTAAAATCGAAAAAGGGGGAAATCTCAGTTCAGAAATCGGAAAGACAATGGGGCTGCAATGGATGATTCTGACGTACGTGGTGGCGGCGGAGGCGGCGGTGGCGGTCGTCTTGACACTCCCATCGCCCAAGGCTGTTAAATCTCGCATCGTATCTCTCATCTCTTTGATTCTCCAGACTTCACTTTCATTATACCCTTCTCTGCTTTTCAGCTCCTGGGTGAGTAATTCGTTCTTCGTCTAAATTTTTGTCGATTCAGAGTGATTTTTGGGGATTTAGTTGTTGCTTTATTTCAGTTAATTTGTAGCTATTTTCCGGAATTGATTGTCGATTCAGAATTTCAGTGTGATTTTATGGGAGTAAATCAAGGCCCATAAGCAATTAGGGTTTTTTGGTGTAAAAACAGTTAGAATATGGAAAGGGGGTGGTGATGCTGTGGTGTGGCGACGACGTTGTGACGATGAAGAACAGATCTAGGGTTTTTTTGGTGGATTGTGACGGAAGACGGCGCAGAAAAAAAATTCGCGCAGGCAGGGCCCTTAATCGACTACGTGTGTTTAATCGACTATGTTCAATAGTCGATTAAGGCTTAATCGACTATGTTCGGCAGTCGATTAAGGTTAACCGACTCCAGTTGTTAATTTTTTTTTTATTTTTTTGATTTTTTGTTTATTGATTCCAATGTATAAATCAATTACAATGTTTGTATTTTTTTTTTAAATATAGTTGATTTTGCATTTTTTTTGTAATTATGATTTGTTATTTTTAATAGCTAAAATTTTAATCGACTATGCATTAATAAACCTGATAGAGAAAAAAAATAAAAAAACCAAAAAAAAAATAAAATAAAAAATTAGAAACAAAAAAAAAATTAAAAAATTAAAGATTTTCCTTAATTGACTATGAAGCATAGTCGATTTAAGACTAATCGACTATACTTCATAGTCGATTAAAAAAACGGAAAAAAAAAAAATCGCTGGAGCGCGTGCCCAACTGTGATGAGGTGGCGGGCGGGGGTAAAACTGGGAAACACAATGGCTGAATTGGATCATGGGCTTTTCTCAAATGGTCTAAAATATTTTGGGCCTCCCTCAATTAAAAAAAGTAGTGAGGGGGTTTTCTCAAAGAGCCCCTAAATAATATCATATATTTTATTTATGGGTTCATCTAACAAAGGTCCATGATAACTGATAAGGACACTTCAATAAAAAAAAAAACGACATCCAACTTTTTTATGTTTCAAATATTTCCAGCTCATTTAAACTTATTTGTAAAAACGAAAACTTTTTTATATATACTAAAATTACCCACAATTCCTTGAGACCCAATTTAACTCCAATTTCATGATTTACACCCCAATTTAGTCCAATTTCACCAATTAACCAATTTTGACCCGCCACCATCGGAGACGTCGGTCAGCCGCCGTTGATCGCCGCCGGTCTCCGGCGTTGATTTTTTTTTCTTTTTTTTTTTGAATTTTTTTTCCAGTAGGTCGATCGCCGGGTCTCCGACGTTGACTTTTTTTTTTTTTTTTTTTTTATAATTTTTTTTCTTAAAAAAAATATGTTAATTAATATTACTGTCTTGACTGCTAAATTACTATCTCCAGCAGTTATTTAAATGTCGGAGACAGTAATTTAACTGTTAATTGAACTTTTTTTTTCTTAAATAGTATTTTAATTAATATTACTGTCTTGGCTGCTAAATTACTGTCTCCAGCAGTTGTTTAACTGTCGGAGACAATAATTTAACTGTTAATTGACTTTTTTTTTCTTAAAAATAATATTTTAATTAATATTACTGTTTTGGCTGCTAAATTACCGTCTCTAGCAGTTATTTAACTGTCGGAGATAGTAATTTAACTGTTAACTGATTTTTTTTTCTTTTTTTTTTTTTTGAAATTTTGTTTTTCTTAAAAAAAATTATTTTAATTAATATTACTGTATTGGCTGCTAAATTACTGTCTCCGACAGTAATTTAACTGTCTGAGACTGTATTAATTAATTTATCGTCTTGGCCTGCATTTTTGCTGTCTTCGACTGTAATATTAATGTCTCCGACCGTAATATTACTGTCTCAGGCAATAATATTACTGTTTGGGACAATAATATTCGTAATATTACTGTTCAGAAAAATAATATTCATAATATTACTGTCCCAAACAGTAATATTATTGTTTGAGACAGTAATTAACAGCAAGACAGTAATATAAATTAA